CCCTCTACACTGCCCTAGTGAGGCCCTATCTGGAGTACTGTGTCCAGTTCTGGGCTCCCCAGTTCCAGAAAGATGAGGAACTGCTGGAGAGAGTCTAGTGGAGGGCTACGAAGACGATTAGGGGACTGGAGCATTTCTCCTACAAGGAGAGGCTGAAGGAGCTGAGCTTGTTCAGCCTGGAGAAGGCTGAGAGGAGACCTTATAAATGCCTACAAATATGTTAAGGGTGGGTGTGAAGAAGATGGGGCCAGACTCTTTGCAGTGGTGCCCAGTGTCAGGACAAGGGGCAATGGGCACAAACGGAAGCATAGGAAGTTCCATCTGAACACAAGGAAGAACGTCTTTACTTTGAGTGTGATGGAACACTGGAACAGGTTGCCCAGAGGGGTTGTGGAGTCTCCTTCTCTGGAGAATTCAAGACCCGCCTGGACAAGGTCCTGTGCAGCCTGCTGTAGGTGACCCTGCTTCGGCAGGGGTCTGGACTAGATGGTCCACAGAGGTCCCTTCCAACTCCTATGATTCTGTGAAATCCAAAACACCTGTAACCGGAAGTACTTGAGGATAAATATGGTAATGCCAAAGTACGTCTCAGCAGACCGCTGGATCCATCTGTCTAGCCTTTAAAAGCTTAGTGCCTTCTGGGGAAAGTATTTCCGTTTTATTTGAATCAACAGAAACATAATTCTTTCTTTTACCAGGAAAAGAAAGGAAAGTTTTCCTTAGAAAGGAAACTTTTCTTTTCATCCTGAATTATTAACGCTGCTCGCGCATCTGTGGCAGAATTATTCTGGTCTATTTACGATTAATTTGGAAAAACAGAACATGCATTGAGCTCTTCCTAAGGTAATATATTCAGGGGACAGATACATTTTTCAAAGAGAGAGAAAAGAGAAGCACTATACTGGTATCAGTTCAGAAAAACTTGTTTTTGCCACACTACATATAAAAGAAACATGATGCTGTTGGTATTCCTAGTTGAAGAGGTATTCCTAGTTAATATATTTTCTGTAAGTTTTATAAACTGCTGCTGCTCTATTTTCATGCTGCCAGAACTTCAAATCTGCTCTAAGGCCCACTAAGACTTCTGGAGGCATGCAAGTGATTTCTCTAGCTTTCAGATTAGCCCTGTTTGAATTTAGTTTTACAGATTTACTACAACTTTTGGAAGAATTAATTTTAAGAACAGATTTTTCTCTCACTAGTCTTTCTTGGTTTTACATAGCAGGTTTGTATAGTCATAGTTATAGAAAAAGGTGAGAAATCTTTATACTGGGAAGTCATTGTGTCTTCTCCACAGAATCTCATAAGCAATGGAGCACAGACCTTAGCTTCATGAATACCCTGAAACAAAATTTCCAAAGAGAAATTCTATTCAATCATATTACTCAAAATACACCCTATAATAATGTATTAATATAATATCATACATTAGATATTAAGATGACTCTGGATTTGTTCTTGTTCATTATATACACAGTACTGAAACATCACCTGGTTCTCCTGGAGGACCTGGTAATCCAACAGAACCTGGTCTGCCAGTAATACCAGGTAGTCCTGGAGGGCCTACAATACACAAGCCAGTTTGTCCTTTCTCTCCTTTTGTTCCTTTTGGCCCAGGAAACCCTGGGGGACCTCTCAGACCAGGTCTTGACACACCTAACCGAAGAGGAAAAAATACAAAAATGAAGTTAAAGAAATGTAATTTCAAAGCAAAGTAAGTACTCAAGAGGATGAGTGAGAGACAAACAGACCGAGTTCATCCCACAAATCTTTTATCTTGTGTATTAAATAATCACAGTGACAATGTGAAGATGTTTAAAAATTATCTTTAACCTCTCTTTAAATACTTGGCCCATCTAAGCTTTTGGGTGACAATTTTTTACCACTTAGAGATATGTTTAAATTCATCTGAAGTTAAGATTCCACTAAGTACAATGGGCAGGAAGAACAATGTATTTTGTTGTTGGCACTGGACCATTACACGTACCTGGTCTACCAGCACCTCCAGGAGGACCCTGTGGCCCTGCAAAAGCAATGTTTTTAGAACTTGAGTTAAACCACTGTATACTCTGCAAAATTGCTACTCCTTAATATCGACTGCAAACTTTGGGCTTCTGCATTTTAAGCTTTATTTATCTTTTAGGAATTTGGTTTTGCCTAAGTAGGCATCTACTACTTATGCAACTGTTGCATACTGACAATTCTCACTGAAATCTGGAAAGATATGGATTTTTACAACAGGTAGGAACAGGATCCACCGCATTTATCTTAGGTGGGGATGCATTCAATTACTTAAGAATGACTTACAGGCCTGCAAAATTGCTTCTTTTTGCCACTATTATTTGCTCTAGTAAATATACCACCTCTTTATGCAGTAACACCTTTGCAAGGCTCAACTTTCCTGCTGCCATCCCTTGGAAGTATTTAATTAGATTTAGAACAACAAAGAGCATTCACTGAATACAACACAATCACTTCCATACATAAGTATTTGTAAAACTAGAACATCAAAACACAGAAGGCAAGGACTTCTGGAGGCTGGATGAGGCTTGCTGGATAGCCTACTAGATGCTGCCTCAGAGTTCAGCCCACAAGCCCTTGTTATATTGTGAGACAGCCCAAATAATACATCAGTACATTTTAATTTTACAGCATGGACAAAATAAACAAAGTAAAAACTTGCCGATCTTTATGATTTTGGAATGATAGGTAACAAAAATGACATAAGAGAAACTATGAAAGCTACCAAAAAAAAAGAGAAAAATTGCATGACATTTCACAGGAGACTTACAGTCGTGATGGTTTGTCTATGACATATACAAATAATGTGCTGATGCAGTAGTCCGCTAAGGTCATGAGACAGGATGTCAGTGACCTTAGGTGCTCAACTCAATTATCTGCACAGAGAAGTGTGCCACCTTCATTATTTTTAAGAGGAAATAGGGCCGTAAATCAAAGTCTCAGGATACACTTCCATTCTGCAATTTGATAGGAGCAATTTGGAAATACTCAGAATTCTGAGGGCAGAAGCAGGTTGCTGGGTGCTCAAAAACCTAGCCTGCAACAAGTCCTTTAAGTGGATAGCTCTTGCTAAAAGATCCTAGTTTTGATATCCCACTCACCAGGCATGCCACGTTGACCTTTTGGTCCTGGAGGTCCAGGGGGTCCTTCATCTCCTTTTTCACCAACCACATAATCATAATACTCTGTCTTAAGAGAAAGATAGTAAGAAAAGAACGAATAGTAAGAACAAAGAGAGAAGCACAGTGCCTCATGCTGAACATTTAGTTAGAACAATGTTATAATTTGATTCATAATTTTGATGTTGTGACACCATGAGAGCTTTCTAATCACATGGTTATTACAAGCAGCCAAAAAAGAAATTGTAATTGTTATATACAGACAACACCAAGAGACCTGTACAAATAGATGGGGCTGGGATTTCAGCCCAATTCCTCAACTGCCAGAGAATTCCTGCCTGCAGACGCAATTATACAGACAAGTATAAATTGGAGACCCAATCACGAATATTACGGTAGCAAGAAATAGAAAATTGTCTTGAAAGAAACCTCTGGGAATCACTTAGCCTATTCCATTGGCTCAAAGCAGCACCAGCTGCTATATCTAGACTACTCTTTTAAATAATCATACATGAAAACAGACAAAAATCAACTACTTAAATCACATGTACATTAAAAATTCATTCCTACAAAAATGAATACTTAATTTACTAAAGGTTAACATTAGGATGTTTCAAAGTTTCTACAAATGACGGGCAAGACCAAAATGCAATTTGCTGTAACTATTTTTTTATAACCGCAAATTTTTGTTCTTTTCTGGATTATTTTGCATGGGCACCATTGCCAGCATATCAGTAGTATAATAAGTACTGTGCCTTGATATACAAAACACTTAAACGGACTACTAATGCACCACTTCTAAAAGAAAACACTCCTTAAAATTAAAAACTTTTACTTTTCTCCTACTGATTTTTGAAAAGCAATGGGTTTTTGGTATTCTGTTAATATCACAAATTATTTAGCTTTTTACAAAGCTATTTCTTTTGAGCAATTTGGGCAGAAGGTTTCCATTAGGTGCGCATGGGGCCTTTAAGGAAGCAAATAGCAAGACAGCCTGACTAGACAAAGGAATTGTGCTCATAGCATCTCTTGCTTTCTTTAAAAAGTCTTCTTGGGATTTTAAAATTATTGGTTTCAAAATTAAATTCCGTGAATTTTTGTAACTCTTGTGTGACAGTCCAATCTCCTGCCAAAATTGCTGGAGCTGAGTGAGGTCTAAGCAGGCCTTGATCGCACATCCAGCTCTACATGAAGGAAGATGCCATCTCTGCAAGACTCCCAGCATCGTCAGTTCTTTGAGAAAGCCATGCCTTGATTACAGCATCACAAACATCCATTATTGCCTCATACAATCAGTTTGGCTTATTCTAATGGTTTAGAAAAATGATATGACAAAGATAATTTAGACTTACTCGACCACAGGCTCCAGGTGGACCAGTGTTTCCTTTCATCCCCTTCATCAGAGAACAGAGATGGGTTTGTTTATTGAAAACAATACATGACAGGACATTCGGTACCCACTGTTACTTCAGTACATTGCTCATAACATTAAAGAACTTCTGCTCCTGAACAGTCCTTCACCACCCCAGTCTCTGTTCCTTACACAACTGTTCAGACACATACACCAAAAACTACAGGAACACATCAGCAGGCAGAGATGGACACCACTTCAAACACATGATCTATTTCAGCTGATCCATTCCCTATTCCGTGATACCATTACTTGTCGTCTTTTAGGTAAAGTAAAACATATTGTATACACAGTGATAAATAAAACAATACAATAACCGCAAAACACACCTTATCCTCATCCTGAAAAGCACCAACAAAACCACAGACAATAAATACCTTAGCTCCTTGCTTGCCAGCCAGTCCAGATTTGCCCTGCTCACCCTTTCGTCCCTGCAGGTGACAGTACACAATTTTATGAGGATTAATCTTTTAGCATTGTCATCAGCAAGATCGAAATTGGAAAGCTTTAATCTTTCACGGCACTGGCAAGGTGAACGTGACTTGTTCAGGGGAAGAAATCTCAGGGAAAGACTCAGTTTAGGGTACAGTTCCGTGTCTGTGGAAAATAGTGCAGGTCTCTCATCCAAACCTGCCTTTATAACGGCAAACTCCACCAATCCCAAGGTGGAGCTGCTCTGGATAGCACGAGTGTAGGAGGCTCTGGTTTGTTCTACCTCTGCAAACTACTATTTCTGAAAGGGGAGAAACTGAACAAAATCACATTCAGCAACTCCCTCTCCCAGAACCTGGTCAGTCCGCATGATGGAGCTGATCTCAAGAGGTGTCAGCAAGACCAGGAGGGAAAATAGTGCACACTGCTGCTAAAGCTTTCTGCCAGTGTATACATGCAAGGAAAAGAGACTTCTCAGAGGCTTATGCAGTCGAATGCACTGCTAGTTAGTGCTAAGTTCAAATGGGAACAGAGCAATGACATGCCTTTGTCATGACAGAGTTTTCTTTCTGTTAGCTGAGGCAGTAGAGCTTTGCGGTCTGTCAGGCCACGTTCTCTGTCAGACTGGAATGTGTTTAGACTGTCCTGAGAAGGTCATTTTGGCATGATGAAGATCATGTTTTAGTAAGACCTATGTGAAAAGGGGTATTCGGACAATAAGAAATTTGACAAGATATTTATAAGGTCACTGTGACCCTAATAATGTCATTAAAGTGGAAGTGAAGTAAATATCAAAGAATTACACAGAATCACAGAATCGTAGGGGTTGGAAGGGACTTCTGCGGGTCATCTAGTCTAACCCCCCTGCCGAAGCAGGGTCACCTACAGCAGGCTGCACAGGACCTTGTCCAGGCGGGTCTTGAATATCTCCAGAGAAGGAGACTCCACAA